TGGGAGGGCAGGGGGAGGGAGCGCCTGGCCAGGCTGGCCTGCCTGCCGAGATGGATGACAGTAAGGTAAGTCCTGTGGTTTGCACGCGCAGCTGCCGCCGCCGCCGCCGCCTGCTTGTCGCTAAGTGCGGGTCCCGCCGCTGAGCCTTAGCTCTGTAGTCCATGCCAACACCCAAGAAACACCTGCCGTAGGTGTCCCCGCGCCTTCAGTTAGTACCCAGGGTACCCACCCAGGAATTCGGGAGACAGCGGGCCGCGTTGTTCCCCAAAGGGCCCTCTCCTCTGGGAGATTTTCACTCTCGGGGCAAGCCTGTTTGTCAGCTTCTCCAGGTAGTGCCAGCCCTAGTCCTGGACTCGCCTACCGAGATACGTGAAGGAATTACTTTGCTTTCCCTTTTTGCCGGCCCTTGCCCCCGCCCAGCCTTTCTCTAGTTTGGAGATCTTAACTAGGACACCCTGAACCAGCCCTGTTTCCCTTGACTGTTCCCCTTTCTTCTCTCCTGCGCCCTTACTCAATGCCCCATTCATATAATCAGTTCACTCCCCCTCTGAGCTATTTTCCTGTGGTTGGTTGGAACACTTTGCTAAGCTCCTGTTGCTATTCGTCCAGAGTCTGGAAGCTAACCTCCTCTGGAAAGCCTTCTCTAAGAAAAGTAGTGAATCCCTTCTTGTTCATCTGTCTTAATAACCCATCACCACCCCCTTCCAAATCAATTACCCTTATGACTATAAGAGCAGTGTTCATTATTGGTCATTCATATGTGTAACCTTTTTGTCTTTATGTCTATCCACGTTAGTGTTGACCAGTTTTATTTCATGAAGATAGGGATGGTCGGCTTATTGATCATCAGACTTACAGTATTTGCCAGTTTTTGAAGTGGGAATTGCTCCTTCCCTCTGCTCTCCAGAGGTCTTACTTTCTTAAACTCTTCAGCATGCTGCTGGAGGTAGCCTTTTTCTTTGTTTGGGTGCCCTTTTCCCCTTCCAGGTAACCAGTAACATTTTGCTGCTGTCCAATTTTGGTTTCACTTATCAATCAGAGAGATTGGAAAGATTTCCAGCTTCTCTGTACTACTGTTGGTGTTATTCTACATGATCTCCTCTCCCTGTCCCTGCAGAAGGCTCTGAGAAAAGTGATAGAAGGGAAAGCCCAACACAGTACTCTGGAATTGGGACTCACAGTCTGCTTGTGAAGTAGTAAAGCCCTCCTAATAGGAAGTGGTGTTTCTCAGACAGAAAGGGGGAGTTCTAAACGTTCCAGAAAAATCGGAAAATAACTTTTCCAAAAAGTCTTTGCTAGCTTGCTCTTTCAGTGTTAATTTTGAAATTAAATCCACATATTGTATCCTTTATCTTTCCCAGAAAATAATGTTATGGCTGTTTAAGAATGCCAAAATAACATATTGTTCTATAATTTTTTTTAATTTGAGACTCGCAGAATAGTCTACATAATTTTCAGTTGTTTCCTTTTCACACCTTTGAAACATTTAATAACTTTCTCAAAGTCTTCAGTAATCTCAAAGAAGTCCAAGAAAAATGCTTAAGGTTTTGGGTTACTTTACTTCGCTATAAATCCACCTAGGAGTTATTTCTAAAACAAGCAAACTCTTAGGGGGTACAAAAATTTTATTGTTTTGCCTAAAAGAATGAAATTAAATTTCAGGGGTAGACTATTCATAACTTACTTCCTATAGGGTCCCAGGTACACAAAATAAATTGGGTTTTCATTCTTTATTAATTCACTGTTTTTATGAAAGAATTTAGAAACCAGCAGTTTCTGAAATCTTTAATGAGTGTGGAAAACAAAACCCATTTCAAATGTCTGTGGATGAATAGTGTCTCTGTGAATACACCACTTTCACTTTGACTGCTTGTCATAGGTTTGGGTGAGTAATATTTAGGTGTCATGTACAGAAAGACTGGGCTGCTTTCCGCAGTCAGACGGTGTGAAACAGCCCTTAAGTAACAAGGCTTCGGCAGCGCCCAGTCCTGCCTTTCTCTGGGCTCCAGTTGTTACAGTCCTGAAAAATTGTATTGTCTTCCTAGTACATACAAACGTCCATACTCACACACATAACACGCTTCTTCTTCACATTAGGTATGGGTGATGGCGTCTCAGGTTCCTGAAGGGAAGGTGAGGATTGGGGCTTGGACGTATGGGAGCTGTGCTGGTGAGAGCACAAAGGATGACAAACACTGACAGCGAGGCCAGGGAACAGGAAGAGGATGAAGCGAACAGGAGCAGCAATGATAGAAAGGCAGTATTTGCATGAGCAGGTCAAGAAACAGATGATGATCATGGGAGGCCCTCCCTTTAGAAAGATTCTGTATCCTGAGTTGCTTTCATCGGTGGTGATAAATGAGTTTGCCAGGAGCTCTCCACATTCTGCCTCCTGGAGTAAGAGCAGGACAAATCTGAATGTGGGTGCAGCTTTGCCTCTCAAGTGTCTAGGATTGTGCCTAATACTGCATAGAGTACTGGTTGTTAATAGTGATTGAGTTGAGTTGGTACAGAGTGGCATTACAGAGGATGCCCTAATGTACCTAGGCTTTATTAATATGTTTCATTGAGCCAACCAGCCAGAGTATGCAGATGATAACAAAATGAAAAATAAAGCAAGAGCTGTATTGGCTATCTAAAACTGAGGGCTTGGGAAAGTGCTACAAGTAGCAGAGTTCAAATACTGAGTAGGTCTCTACTAGGTTAGTTGGGAAGGAATAAATCTTGGCTAAGTTATTTTAATTTTTCTGAACTTACATTCCGCCCGTTAAGTGGTCAATACCTTCTTCACAGGCTTTGTTGAGGGTTAGAAATAATGCCTTAAGTATAGAGTCTATATCACATAGTAGGCACTCAAAAAATGTTATTATTGTATTACCTTGCAGTGACTTCCTTGGTCCTCAGCACAGTGTAGTAGGCACCTAACATGCTCATTTTACTAATTTTTTAAAAAAAATATACTTTTATTGATTTCAGAGAGGAAGAGAGAGATAGAAACATCAACAATAGAATCATTGATCTGCTGCCTCCTGCACACCCCCTATTGGGGATCAAGCCCGCAACCCTTGACCAGAATTGAACCCGGGACCCTTCAGTCCCCAGGCCCACGCTCTCTCCACTGAGCCAAACCAGCTAGGACTCATTTTACTAATTCTTAAGTGCATTCTGTTGTGTAACTTTTGTGGCTCTGTTTACTTCTGAACTACCCTTTGCTCCTAACTATGCCCCCAAATGGGATAGGGGCAATGGGATGGGACATGATATGAACTTAAACTGTGCCCTAAACCAGCAGTCGCCAACCGGTGATCCGCAGACCACTGATGGTCTGTGAGGTCTGAAAGGTTGGCAACCACTGGTTTAAGGAAACCTTTGGAGCAGCGGTCACCAACCGGTGGTCCGCGGACCACTGGTGGTCCGTGAGGTCCAAAAGGTTGGCAACTGCTGCCCTAAACTGTCAGATTATGTGAGAGAGGTAGTCTCCTGAGCCCACCTGCATGCCCACCTCTACAAAAAAGTGCTTGTTCTTATGAAAGCCTTTTCTCCCTGACCTGCTCCATTCAGTTACAAAGAAAATTGAAATGTGATATTTTCAGAGGCTTTGATCATAGACAGAAGGCTCTTGTTTTATATTTGACTTTTGTGTTTATTGAGTGAATGAATGAATGAGTAAATTGAAATATCCTAGACCAGATATGTTCTTGCCGCAGACTATGAATTGATAAAAGACCACCATGCTTTATTGCCCAGCCTGACAGTTTAGGGCATCAAGTTCCAATTGAGGGGCTGATGAGAGGGTGGCCACCTGCTGGTCACAATATGTTTCTGTGGGCTACTGTTCTCCTCCATACTTCCTTTCCACCTGCCTGACCCACAGTTATCTGAAAGTGAGGTTTCTTACATCTTCCTTAGGTTAAAAGACAGGTTCTTTTGTTCCATTCAGTTGTTGTGAGTAGTGCTAGTTCTTGAAAAAATTTTAAGTTAGTCAAAAAAATCTCTTTGACGTTCCCAGACCTGAGCTTTGGCCCCTCAAGTCCCCACTATTGGCCCCTTAGCCTTCCTTTACAGTTGGAGCTACCCTCCTTGGGCAGCACCACAATGCACAGACACTTTCTGCCTTTTCTGTTTTTCTATTCCATCAATACTTTTCACAAGACTAAGATAGACGAGCCACCTCATCTACTAAATAAATACCTGACAGTAGATATTAATATTTTAAAGTGCCTGCCTTTCCGATCTAGGTTACATGAACATTTTACCAGGTTGCCTCTACAGATGGTTTAACCCTAAGGGGTAATTTTAATACTACACAAACCAATTGAAATTGGAGTTTAAATAATGTTTTGCTCTTCTCAGAAAAGTTCATTTTTTTTGTTAATTATCAGACATTTGTTGGACACCAAATATGTACAGGCACTATGCTAGACAGTAGACATACAGAGGTCAATAGGAGTTTGTAACTATTCTCAGGAGCTTACATTGCAGTGGGCAAGGCAGACACATAGGTAAATAATTACAATATAGTGAAGTAAGAAATGAAGGCGGTAGAGGCAAAGTGGTTTGGGGGTATTAGAATGGATGCCTAATTATCTGGGTATGTCAGCCATGGGCCACACAGTAGGAATGAATCTGTAAGGAAGAATAGGAGTCCCCCAGAAAATGGGGAAAAGGGAATATCCTGTTCTAAAGCTTATTGAACTGGCAAATAAGTATTTTGTTACAGACTAGAGCAGGAATTGGCAAATTTTCTGTACAGGGCCATTAAAGTTGTTTTAAGCCACCAAGTTTGTGGTAATGGTTACAGCAGCCACAGGAAACTCGTATACTGGATGTGGTGACCTAGTAAGCAGTGCTGAGCCAAAGGTCTTCTCTTGAGCTTGAGAGTGACATGGCCAAAGGGCCATTAAAGTTCATCCTCCCTGTAATGATCAGGTATTACTCTTTTACAGTGAAGAAAAACACACCAAAATACACTAAATTAAAAATACAATCATAATAAATTGAAAAGAAATGTTCGTTTGGCAGCTCTTTGCAAGAGGAATAACTAAGGAAAGGGGGATAGAAAAGGAGGGTAAAAGGGGGGTAGGGAGACCCATTTGGAACCTATTGTAATAATCTCTGAGGGCCCTGCCTAATGTAGGTAGTAGGAATAGAGAGGAGGAGATTTTATAAAGTAATAAATTGGCATAACTTCAGTGGGTGGGTGTGGAGATTCACAATAGTTAAACAAAAATTTCAAGGAAGCATAAAATGAACAGGTTTGTTACTTAACCTCACACTGCCTTCCCAAGTGCCTAATTCCACAGTGAGCTGGATTAAATGAATGACTACATAGCATTAATATAGCAGTGTGTATTTAACACCTGTCAGTTTTAGGTAGAGCCTTTTTGGGGAATTATATGTTCAAGTTAAAGAGCATTACCTAGGAACCTAGGGAGAATAGTCATGCTTGATGACAGTGAGTTATCTTATGACAAGTTGCTATAATGCAAATCAAAGGACCAGTGATGGCGAACCTTTTGAGCTCGGCGTGTCAGCATTTTGAAAAACCCTAACTTAACTCTGGTGCCGTGTCACATATAGAAATTTTTTGATATTTGCAACCATAGTAAAACAAAGATTTATATTTTTGACATTTACTTTATATATTTAAATGTCATTTAACAAAGAAAAATCAACCAAAAAAATGAGTTCGCATGTCACCTCTGACACGCGTGTCATAGGTTCGCAATTACTGGTCTAGACCCTTCTCTGACATTGAAAATCTCTGAACTAAAATTTTGTCATCATAAAAAAAAATTTGTCATATATGAAGTAAAGAGCTCGCTATGCATATCTGTGTGTGTGTGTCCGCTACCAGCTCCCCTGTATATACAATTATCCTGCCCTTTATAATGTTATTGTTTATTTCCTGTCTGCTGTGTTTCACGAGTCTAAATACATTAAAAGTAAGGACCCTATCTTATATTAATATTCCTAGAGTTTTACAGTGTTTGGGGCATAGTGGGTATTCAATAAATGGTTGTTGAATAAATGAGTTATTCGTTCCCCTTTCCCTGAAAAAGATGAGGATGTAGGGTTTACCTTACCTGAAGTGGTGTGAGGTAACATGAGAGAACATGCCTAACTCAAGGCCTTGTCCACTGTGAGTGCACTCTCCCTGCACACCCCGATTGAGCCCTGCATTTAAGTTGTTCTTGTGCCTAAAATGATTCAAGCGCCTTTGAAACAGGATTTAATCTGAACCCTGGAGACCTCCTCTTTTCATAAGCCCCTAAAGAGCACGCAGCTACAGTCATGCCCCCTCTTTCTGCGGAAGTTAAACCTGTTGACTGGGAAGCCTGTGCCCTCTACGCTCAGGCCTTTGCAAACTATTCTGTCTTTCTCTATAATGGTTAAATTTAGAATTATCAGGAACTCTCTCTTGGCTGAATCCAGTCGTTTTATCTTAATTCCCAGCCTTTTTGAACACATAAATTAGAAACGTTCAAAAACCATAAAAAATACAGATGAGGAAAAAAGCTTCCTCACAGAAGAAATAGGAGAGAGCAAGGGGACAATGTGGTTATCACTGAGTTTGTGAAAATTTATGAAACATAGGTAAGAATTATTTTTGGCCCAGGGACATTTAAGGAATTTGTGAGGTTGATTTCAGTGTTAGTTTCTGGTTCCTAATTTCTAATTAACTTCCCCTATTCACCCCGCCATCTTTATGGCTTATGAAATATATAAAGTTTCGTTAACTACTATAGTTGGCAACTAGTATAGTAACCTACATTTGTATAATAACCTTTCCTTTACAAAGTGCTGTCACACATTATTATACTTAAAACTTACAATAATCCTGTGATATACTTGACTCTCTTGAAAACTGTACACTGATGAGATTTTAGCTTGCACCCAAAGCCAAAAATTCAATTTATTCCCGAGGAAAAGTTAAGCTAGAGAAGTGGTGTTATGTGACTTAAAATGTAATTTTACAGGAGGTGACATAAGATACAGGAACCCTGAATTCATTTACTCTGCCTTTCTAATAAAAAAAAGGAATAAAATAGTTCCAATTTAAATATTTTGCTACCATGAAAACTAAACAAAGGGTTATAACTTTTGTTTGATTTTTATGACTGTGCTAGGTGTGTTTCAAAAATCAATGAAATCTGTAAAGTACTCTGTGTTCTCTTGTTGGCTTCTCAAAGCAGCCACTCCTGCATTAATTAAAAACAGCAATATAGATAGTGTTGTGTGATGACTCATTTTACAACATAAAGAATAGATGTGATTACTATTTATTTCACTATAGACAAGAGTTTCTGCTGTAAATATATTGCTTTTTAAAAGCTGTAGCAAAGCAAGTACACTTTGTTTTAATGGAGGGCGATTTCAAAACATTTTATTAAAATTGTGCGGTTGATGTGATATAAGCATAATTTAGCCCATGGTAATATTTGGACCAACTAGTCATCCTGGAATTGCTAATCAAATATTTGACCCTGAGGGAAAATTTCCTGAGACATATATTATTATATTGGAACAAAGACATGATGATGCAGAATAGAATAGCTTTAAAAGACCAGTTTTTGAAAAGTTGAAACTAATTTGGGAGTAGTACTGAAGCAGCTAGCTTTCAAGATGGTGGTGGAAAGGAAAGACTTTTTCCCCCCTTCAATTTCATTTCAGAGCCATCCTATAAAATGCTAGATGCAGTGGCTAACCATCATGTTATGATACAGGGTCTGGTAAATGTGACTGATCCACATTTAAAGTGTGGTTTTCTTGACCCAACCATTATACTTAGTAATGATCTGATCTTTATAGGGCATTGTTAGTGTATGATATTAATAGTGATTTCAAACAAATCCTTTGAGTTTTGTTACCTGGGAAGGCTTCTGCAGGTATTCTAATGATCTGCCAGTGTTTGATTGGCATCTTCTCTTTTAGAATGGCCTTTAAAGCCTGCGCAATATTCCTTTCAGTATACTTTTTATTCCCTGAGGGTAACTTTCAGAAAGAACTGGACATCATTCAGAACCTCATCAGATAAACAAAGTGGATAATCCAGTTGTTTGGGAATTTAAAGAAAAATCTATTGCTCTAAAATAACGTAGCCTCCAAAGGCATATGGTATTGTGGCTTGTCAGAAATTGGCTCCTGAAGCACTTTCCAAACAAGCTTGTTCATTGGAATAAATGTACCCCCCCCCTTTTGAAGGACTTCTTTAAAAAAAAAAGTTATTTGATGTGTAAGTTCAGGCTCATGTATGTAAAACTTCATCATCCTCATGGTTACATCTTGTATAAGAACTTGGGGAGGTTCCAAAACTAAACAATGAAGGAGATTAAGTTACTTTGCTAGTCACCAAAAAATTGTGCCTATGCAGGTAAATGAATATCGGGTAGAAATCTCCTGAGACAATGTAGGAGATTTTACAATAATTATAGGCTTCTAAAAGCAGGAGAGAAGACTTGTATGCGGGTTCGGGGGGGGGGGAAGGGGGACATATGTAATACTTTCAACAATAAAGAATTATTTTTTTTTTATAAAGTCTACTTTTTTTTCTTTTTTCCTTTTTTTAAAAATATATTTTATTGACTTTTTACAGAGAGAGGAAGGGAGAGAGATAGAGAGTTAGAAACATCGATGAGAGAAACATCGATCAGCTGCCTCCTGCACATCTCCCACTGTGGATGTGCCCGAAATCCAGGTACATGCCCTTGACCGGAATCGAACCCGGGACCCTTTAGTCCACAGGCCAACGCTCTATCCACTGAGCCAAACCGGTTTCGGCAATAAAGAATTATTTTAAAAAATAATAAATAAAGGTAGAAGAGAAGTATCCTGAGGATTTCAGGGACTGCCTGTGTGTTCTTTTGAGCTCAACACATTTGAAGAGGGAATTTATCATCAAATTGCTTAGGATACCTATTTGTTTTTATATATATATATAATTTTACATACAAATTTTGTTTTTCTAATTGTAAATATTTAAAAATCATTAAAAATACAGGTGAGAAAAAGCTGTTTATAATCATACCTATCAGAGAAATATTTGTTGACCTTTTGTTAATAACATCCTTTGTTCTTTGTGTTGTTTTATAACATTGAGATCATACTGAACTTACAATTTTGAATATTGATTTTTTTAACTTACTATTTTATCAAGTCAATAAAAATTCAGCAATCTTTTAGTTTTTATTATCCAGTTACATATGGCTTATAAAGTTTATTGTTAAACTATCTGAATTTTATTATTGAAGAAATAATGAAAACTTATATTATTTCTGCTCTCAAATTCATAGTATCAAAGGTACCAGAAAAACAAATTATGAAGCAAAGCCTCATAAAGCATTTGATGGGATTATGCTTTTTGTGTTCCATTCTTCATTAACTTATTATTGTAAATATTTTCCATGCTAGTATGCAGCCATAGTCACTTTCCTAGACACAGAACTAAGACAAAAAAATTATTTCTTCTCTCTCTTGCTGAAGGTGATTGGAGGCAAAGTAAAGAAGCCTGGCAAACGTGGTCGGAAGCCAGCCAAAATTGACTTGAAGGCAAAACTTGAGAGGAGCCGGCAGAGTGCAAGAGAATGCCGGGCCAGAAAGAAACTGAGGTATCAGTATTTGGAAGAATTGGTATCCAGTCGGGAAAGAGCCATATGTGCCCTCAGAGAGGAACTGGAAATGGTAAGAAAGTCTGTCAATAAATGCATGAAAAAAATCAACGTAAGTTTCATAGTCAAAGCATTAAAACATGAAGAAACCAGTTTTCACCTATTGATTCATTTGACAGACATGGGAAAGCATATTTATTGGTCATTCAGGATGTGGGCAAATAAGCATTTTCATACACTACTAATCGGAGTGGAATGTACATGACTATTTCATGGAGGGAGTATTTATGATAGAAAAATAATGGAAAATAACCCAAATATACAATAATAAGGGGTTGGTTAAGTAAATGATATTCATATATTGGACTACTTTGCACCCAGTAAAAATCATAGTACACCTATATTTCTTGATATAGAAAAACATTTACAATATATTGCTAAGTGGAAAAAGCAATATAACAATATGCTACAATATGAATAGTATGATACCATTTGTTTAAACATTTATTTATTTGGCATGTTTCATTCTTTCATTTATTCATTCAGATTTTGGGTGGTGGCTGTAGAAATGTAAAAGAGAATAGGTAAAAGAGAATTGAAACCCCATTACTGTGAGCTCAAGGGAGGAGGTGACAGGTTGGAGAAGAGAGAAATAATAGTACCATGATCATTACAAAACTAGGACAGGCAACCTCCACTTTTTAGAAGGTACGAAAATACGGTTAGGGCATAAAGAGAGTTCAGATATACTACTCAGTAATTTTTTTTTTTTAGTATACTGAATTTGACTTATGCTATAATTATTTCTCACCTTCTGTAATGTAAGCCACTTGAAGGCATAGTCTTTGGAGTAATTAATCTTTTTATACCCTAATTCCTAGTACACACTCCGGCACTCTGGTAGAAAGTAGATGCCCTAGCTGGTTTGGCTCAGTGGATAGAGCGTCGGCCTGTGGACTGAAGGATCCCGGGTTCGATACTGGTCAAGGGCACATGCCCTGGTTGTGGGCTCCGTCCCCAGTTGGGGGCGTGCATGAGGCAGCCAATCAATGATTCTCTCTCATCATTGATGTTTCTCTCTCTCTCTCCCTCTCCCTTCCTCTCTGAAATCAATAAAATTATATTATAAAAAAGAAAGTAGATGTTTAGTGAATGTTTATGAAAAAGAGAAAGGAATTACAAAAGTATTTATTTTAGGAATAGAAGTAATAATGTGATCATTAGCCAAAAGAGATAAATTCTAATTGGTAGCGCACTGTGGGGAGACATTCTTTTAACCAGAGGGGCCTTTTAAATCTGAGCAATACTCCAGTATGTCATCAGAAGATTCAGCAGCAGTTTTTCACCCTCTTGTGAAAGATGGCAGGCCTCATCCATGTCCTAGGTTGGAAATAGGAAGTACAATGGAGGATGGAATTCCCAGCAGCCAATTTGACTTGTTGACATGGCCATTCTTAGCATTTCTACCAGTGGTTCCTGGACTCTGACCAGTAAAATTTTACTTAAGTATATTTCACATATTTCAGTACAAGCAGTGGTGCATGGCAATGGACCAAGGAAAAATCCCTTCTGAAATAAAGGCCCTACTGACTGGAGAAGAGCAGAGCAAATCCCAGCAGAACTCAGCCCGGCACATGAAGGCTGGGAAGACAGACGCTAACAGCAATTCCTGTGAGTACAGTACCTGGAGAGTTTCTGTGTACGTAGAGGAGGGTCTTAAGGTAGGATTTCTATTGACCACTTGCCTCCGTATGACTTTTTTCTCTCTGTATATTTATCTTTAAATAAATAAAATGTTGATGTTTATAATACACTAATAAGCAATTGAAATGAATAGATTATAAATACTGACATGCATTTTACATGGGGTCTATAAAGTGCAACTGATAAATTTATGGAAATGTTTTTTTATTATGTTGACTACTCCATAAATGGGAGTATACCATTCTAGTTATTGTTAATAATAATAATACCTTTTATTTGTATTTTGCATTACAGTTTGCCAAGTATTTTCACTTAAATTAAGTATCTTAAGTATTTCCTCCAATAATTATGTGAAGGTGTTACACTTTTTATTTTATAGATGAAGAAATAGCAGAGGTGTATGTGCCAGGTCCTCACCTAGTCCAGGCTGTGTCTTGTATAGTGGCCCATCACTATAAAGAATTATTTTATTAAGGCAAAAGTCACATAACATAAAATTAACATTTTAAAGTAACAATTCAGAGGCATTTATTACATGTAAAATGTTGTGCAACCACCACCTCTATCTCGTTGCAAAACATTTCATCACTCCAAAAGAAAACCCTAAACTCATCACAGCAGTTACTCACTATTACCCTCTCCCTCCAGCCCCTGGAAGCTATGAATCTGCTTTGTGTCTCTATGGACTTATCTAATCTGGACATTTCATATAAATGGATCCTACAGCATGTGACTTTTTGTGTCTGGCTTCTTTTACTCAGCATAATGTTTTCAAGGTTATTCACATTGTAGCATATACCAATACTTCGTTCCATTTTATGGCTGTATAATACCCCTTTGTATATGGATACCACAACTTGTTTATTCGTTCATTCATTTCTGGATTTTTATTTCTATCTCTTGGCTATTGTGAACAGTACTGCTATGAACATGCATGTACAAGCGTGTGTTTGAGTAACTGTTTTCAATTCTTTTGGGTATATACCTAGAAGTGGAATTGCTAGGACATATGGCAATTCTATATTTAACTTTTCCAGGAACCACACACTGTATTCCACAGTGGCTGAAATATTTTACACTCCCACCAGCAATATATGGAGCTTCCCATTTCTCTGCATCTTTTCAACACTTTTTATTTTCCATTTTTAAAAACTATAGCCTTCCTGGTGGGTGTGAAGTGGTGCCTGGTTGTGGTTTGGATTTGCATTACTCTAATGACTAATGATGTTGAGCATCTCTTCATATGCTTGTTGGCCATGTGTATATCTCCTTTGAAGAAATGTATCTTTAAGTCCCTTGTCCATGTTTTAATTGAGTTCTTTTTCATTTTATTGTTCAGTTGTAAGAGTTCTTTATGTATTATGGATTCTTTTACCAAATATATGATTTTCAGATATTGCTCCCATTCTGTAGGTTTTCTTTTTCTTGATAGTGTCCTTTGGAGGAAGTCCAGTTTATTTTTCTTTTGTTGTTTGTGCCTTGTATGTCATATCTAACAATCCATTGCCAAATCCAAGATCATGAAGATTGACCCTTATGTTTTTATTCTAAGAGTTTTTTAGTTTTAGCTTTTACATCTAGGTCATTGATCCATTTTAAGTTAATTTTTCTATATGGTATGAGGTAGGGGTCTAAATTAATTATTTTGCATGTGAATATCCAGTTGTCCCAGCCCCATTTGTTAAGGAGACTGTACAGATTTTAGAATGAAGATGTCATGTCATTGATTTCTTCATCATTAAGGTTGCTTTGGGAGCACTTGAAATAGTTATTAGGAAATATCATAAACATTTTATTTTTAAAAATTTTTATAAAATTGAAGTACTGGCTTGTTAACTTTTATTAGATGAGGTAATGTTTGCTTAATCTAAACTGAATTAAGGAAATAAAAAGGCAAATCCGTTCAGTTTTCCTTCAGTCTGTATTTTAAAATAGCCTTCCTGTAGATAGCAAACTTTAAGTTTTTTTATTGATTTTTTTGGAGAGGGGGCATGGGAAATATATAGAGGGAAACACTGATGTGAGAGAGACACATGGATCAGTTGCCTCCCCTATGCTCCACACTCCCCAACCAGGGATCAAACCTGCAACCCGAGCATATGGCCTGATCAGGAGCTACACCCATCACCTTCCAATGCATGAGACGACACTCCAACCAACTGAGCCATACCGACCAGGGCTAGATACCAAACTTTAAAAAGTTTTTCATGCATTTTTAAAAACAGATTAAATTTCATTGACTTTAAAACCATTCTTACATTGGTAACTTTGATTTGTTTTTCAGGGTGAAGATCATATAAAATGTTGAGTCAGTGATTGAAGTCAATATCCTGATTCCTATGAAGGATGAATAGACAAGATTGTATTACTACCTACTGCTCCACAGTCATCTCTGTAAATCTGCAGTTTCTACCAAATGTGTGATCCTGGATCTCAAAGGATTTTGCTTTAACTTTTAACACTTAGAAAAATGTACAAACATTCTGGTTGGTATTGCCACCCATGGCATTTAATATGTTGTAATGCTTGAAAACACAGGAGTAGAGAAAAATGGGTAAAGATTGTATTTTTGCACCTTAACTCCACATTGCTTTATTGGTTAATTTATATTCTTTCCATGTAATTGTATGTGTATATGTGTTTAGGTGTCACCTCCTTTCATGTTTTTGATTGCCCTGCAAAGAGAAACCAAATGGGCTGATGACTAAGTTCTTAGCCTTAAGGACCTAATTTTATTTCTTTATATGTACTTGAGTAACGTCTATTTTCTGCATGAACCAAGATTTCTCCTGTGAGCCATTCCAGCATAAGCTGTGAATCTGTATTAACCAATATATACATTTCTATTTTTATAATCCATAATGATATGCCTGTTTTAAATAATGTACATGTTAACAGCGTCCATCAGGAAAGCCCTCAAGACAGCCTCTGTTTAAAACTTTTGTTGCTGTCTTTGCTAGGGCCTAATCCATACTTGGAGAATAATTATTCAAATCTTATTTTTAAACAAGAAATAACCTTTTAGGCATTTCAGAAGCATACATCATCTTGACAATCCAGGGTGTATACGTATGTATGTGTTTCTATTGTATGTCTATTGTATGTGTATGTGGGGAGGGCAGGAGTGAATGTTCACACATATTTCCTTGTGTAGTCAACTAACTTGGAAAATTTTCCTAAAGAGAATAGATTAAAATTAGCTGCTGAGATTGAGTTTCTGCCTCAAGAGATCTGGAACAAAATGAGGGACAAACTGCTGATAGACCTAATGGCTGTAGCCATAACCAAAACACTTACTCTGTTCCTTGACATGAGTTTCCTTATGAATGTGTTCTGAGCCAGAATGAAACACACTGTAGGTGTGCATCTGGTTCAGGCCCGGCTACGCCTCCACGCTGGAGTGAAACACTGGAGCTAGAGTTATGCGCAGCACCACACTAGGAGGTGCACAAGGGCAGAGCAGTCCTTTCCAGTTCCCATCAAAGCGACATTCACTTCTCCCTGGCCACCAATGGAGGGATGGTTGAGGAATCCAGCTCATACTATGATACACTCAAATAGACCTAGGGATCTTCTGATTTTCCCCCATTGAGAGTCTCTCTCTTCTCTTTCCCATAGTTAAATCAGGAGTTGTGTGCCCTGTTGCTGCTAAATTATAATTGTCCTTGGCTCTAATGAAGCAAATATTTGGCTTCCAAACAAAATATGTTTTGTTATGAAATGGTCTATGAGGAGGAACATGAGATAGACCACACAGTTTCCGATAACAAGGTACTTCCCCCACCCCTTCTCTTAGGCTATGCATTTGAATAAAGTGCCTCCCCTTAGCTGAGTTCCTAAAGATCTCTTGTGCTTAGGTTGCAAACTCAGATCTCTAGTCCAGTCCTGTGCGACTACTGATATACCACTAGCCCAGACTGTTGGGTCTCTCTATGTTTTGGTGGTCAGGGGGGTTTAAGAGTATTTAATGTCTTTTTAGGATCACAAATATAGATAAAGGATTGTTAATATTCAGGCTTTCAGAATTTAAGTGTTTTTAAATATAGTGTTCAGGTTGTAATGGGTCTGTTTTGCCATATGGTCTACTCAAATGTATATTTTTTATTTTGCAAAACAACCCAAGCAAGATGTACTTATTCTGTTACTTTGTTTAGTACCTTTCGAATTCCCCAGAAGAGTTGTTTTCAAAGCAAACATTCCAAAATGGATGTGGCTCTTCAATGGAATGTCTCCATTGTGCTTGAAGTATTTCTTCTCTGGTTGCAGTTTTAAATTACAGGGTCATTTATCTGAGCTATATCTCCCCCAAATACCCCCCGCCCCAAGCCCCAGTACCTTTACAAGAGCAGTGACTCTGTCCTCAGGTCAGGTAGAAGATGTATAATTTGGGGTTAAAAGTAAATTACAATTTATTTGAGTTTATTCCTAAACCTATCTATTGGGTCTTTTGGAGTAGATCAAAACCAAGAGAAAGTTCCTTGGTTTTAAAAAGGAATGTTTGATTGCTTTGGGAATTGTGCTCGCTGCACGCTTTGGCCACTTGAAGCATGTCAATAAATGTCACTGATTAAAACAGCTGGAGCATTTCTTTCCCCATTTCAGTTAGGGAGCAGCACACTGACACCTAGCATCTCCCATGTACCTGTAATGACAGGGCCGAGGGGGCACAGCGAAGGGTGAGGATCAGTGAGCTCCGTCCCTCTGGATCAGTGCTGTTCTCCTCGCTCTCTGAGTCAGAGGGATGTTCTCTTTTTCTTTTTTACCCACAGAAAGGAAGTTAAGGGGGGAAATATGTTTGTATATTTAGACCAGTCATAATCTGTCACTAATTTAGCATAGACCTGCCATATAATACGGTGACTGAATATAATACAGAATAAGTCTGACCAGGTCAAGTTTTAAGATATGGTTGAAGTTCTTAAATTTTTTTTCTATTTTATCTAAAATATTTCTGTTGTATTTAAATCAGAATCTATCTTATTGCAGCAAATTCATATCACAGTTTACCAGCTAATTGGCAGTATTTATCAGCTTTACCATTTAGCATTTTCTTTTATCATCTTTGAGTTATGATAGACTTGATTTGGCTTATTACAAAAAGTGTAGGTTTAAACTGGACTTGCCTTTAGTTAAAATAAAGGGAAACATAAATGCTATATTTCACAATAAATCAGTTGCTTATTGTTAATTACATATTTAGTTTTAAGGGAGAGGAAGATTACTGTTAAACCACATGCTATTTGGGGGCATTGAAGGGATTTTTCTTTCTCTGAAGAGCATTGTACAATTATATTTTTATGAAAAATAAAATATCTTCACCAGAGATATCTCAAATTGTCTGTTTCACTATACTGAACTATGTATAAGAATAAAGTAGTGAAAGGAGTGTAAGATTTAGGCAGAAAACTGGTCTTGGATCCATTATCTGAGTCACCCTGAATTATTTGATTTTTCAGCCTGTTTCCTCATCTATTAGAAAAAGAGGGAGGATGCCCTTGCCGGTGTGGCTCCGTTGGTTGGAGCATTGTCCTGTACCCCAAAAGGTTGTGGGTTCGACCCCTGGTCAGGGCTCCTAGGGGAGGCAGTTGATCAATGTTTCTCACATTGATGCCTCTCTCTCTGCCTCTGTCTCTCTCCTCTCCTCTCTCTGGAATCAACTAAAAAAAAATGAGAGGGTAACTTTCCTAGAATAAGTAATTGGTAAGCTAAATACAAGTTATGAGAAACTGCTTCTTATGTGGTAAAGGATTACATTAAATTTAAAAATATTCACTTATGCCTGGATTTAACTATTATTAGACTTTAAACAACTGAAGATAAACGTTTATTTAATGAGCTAGAATCTAAATATGTAGTGTTGTAGGTCTCATGTTTCAGAACTCTTCGTAGCTATTTCATGCCTGCCCCTAAAATGGTATATAGGTGGAGGCTCTCTTTAGCAATACAGTAGTCCCCGCTCACCGTGTTTTTCACTTTTTGAGGTTTCAGTTACCCTTTGTCAACCACAGTCTGAAAAGACTGAATGGAGAATTGCAGAAATAAACAATTCATACGTTTTCAATTGCCCGCCAGTCTGAGAAGCTGGATGATATCCACGCCATCCTGCTCCGTCCCGTGAGTCACTTAGTCAATTGTCCCTTTTCCAGCGTCTCCACCTGTATACGCTCCCCACCTGTTCGTTACTTTGGTAGCCATCTAAGTTACACACGGCTCAGCACTGCAGAGCCCAGCACTTGTGGGGGTCATTTTCCTGCAGAACTAAAAATCATACATTCTACAAATTATATGGGGTTGAGAGTTTTTAAAGCAACACGTACTTTTAAAGAGACTCCTTTTGAGAAAGAGTACAGAGCTTTGGACTAGAAGTTTTCAGTTGAGCAAGAAGTTTAAAATGGCCCAAATTATGCGGACTCAAAAAATTCAAGAGGGTCTGAGGAAATGAAATGGACCTAAAATTAATTTAACTGCCTACTTACCAGGAGCATACGAACATTTACTTTTAGGGAAAGTCTAGGTTACAGTGGTATGAAACGGTCCATGAATTCTCAGAGTCAAATGATAAAAGGAGCAGGAAAGAGAGAAGCCCTGGTAAGTGTGGGTGAAACAACTGCCAGTTTCGTGGTCTGATGGTGGTTGTTTTTTTAACGATACCATTTGTAAAATGGGTTTAAAATAATATTTTGACTAGTGACTTCACGTCTATAAAAGGTATTAATTATTTTGGAATTTTCCCAGTGTTTAGATGCTTTGTGTTTTGAACACACTGATTGATTAGTTAATCTACAGCTGCCTCTGGGTGCTCAGCAATTTTCCTGTCTTGTTGCTATGAGACGAGGACTTCTCTGGAACAGCCAGTGTGACTGACAGGCATCTGAAGAGGCGGTGGGCTCTGCCTGCCGGCCACAGTGCCATCAAGCGGCCATTCTGTAGAACAGTTCGACAAAGTCGGTTTGCATTTCCACTAATGACAGCACTTTCAAGTCATCTCTGTTCCAGGCAAATGAGCAGGGGAACGGGACGGCGGGGAACTGTTTCTACTCTTCATATTCTTCTGCACACAGGGAGGAGTTTATCTCCAATACATGAATCATGCCATGGCAAGCAGAATGTGAAAGGATATTGGACTGGTGGTAGAAGGCATTTTCGTTTTCCCCTACTTTGACATCTGTTGGTCTTAATTTCCTCTTCTAAACAACGAGAGGCTTGTGCTAGGGTCTCCCAACATCCCTTCTCCTCTAAAAATCTCTAATTCTTTGCTTCTTTTACATGTGGTTCTTACAGAGGGATGCACCCTCCAAGCTGATGCTGGTCACGTAACTCCAGCAGATCTTGTTGTGTGGCTCTGAAACTGAATCGGGGCAGGTGGCAGCAAAGCTGGAGAGGTGAAGGGAGGGACTGTGCCCATCAGGAGAGGCAAAACTGCCAACTTATTTGGCGAATGACTGCTCCCAATGCCTGGTGGGTAAAATTGTTCTTCCTGGGCAAGAACTCTGGCCCAGGGAGTCAGCTCCAGGCATCCTGGGTAAACCTGTGCTGGCAGGTCCACAGGGAAGCACATCTGAACAGGATGTGCAGGTTGGTTACACGAATGCTTTCACAGAAGATGAGAAGAAAGGGTGAAATTCAAATTCCACTCAAAGGATGCATCCCTCTCCCTTCCTCTGAGTCTATGGGAACCTGGAGTCAGGGAGGAGAATTGCTACTCTGAACCCCACCACACCCCCCATTCTCACTTTCTTGAATTCCTGTTTGGAAACTACGGGAATCAGATTTATGGTGCGCATCATCGTGTACCTGGTAAGGAGACTGGAGTGATTTTCTCATTCTCTCCAAAGCCTGCCTCCCTGCGCCTTAACTCTAGTTTTTGACAGGCAAGTGTAAGGTCTGGTGAATGTTCTTGTGTTGCTGAGACTTATGCAAATATTCATCAATCTGGTCATTATATCTGATTTTCTCCAGTTTTAGGATTAAGTAAGACAATAGGAATATTACATATTAAACTAAACTAACTAAGATATAGTGAATTATCAACATGCTGAGAGAGTATAGCTGCATTTTCAGAGGTCATGAAATTTTGGTGCTCTCTTGGTTATAATTTAACATTTTAATTTGTCATTATTTGGGGGCATTTAAAAACTAGTACTTTCTATAACAAGAGTTTTTATGAGATGGTCTCACTGAATTTCTACTTCCTGGGTAAACTCATAGAACATTAGAGACAGGATAGAGCTGGGCAATTTTCTGGTCTCTTTTAGTTTAAACTGAGACCTATAATATACATAAGAATAAATTAAAATGAATTAAGTTTAACTATTTACAATCTAACTTTAAAAAATAATATTCCATTTAAAGGAGCAGAAAATAAAATCACTTCTATTTTTTTAAACAAGTTTGACTATAAAATTCAAGGGCCAAGTGAGAGAAACATTGGCCTCATTTTGTCATTTTTAGAGTGCCGTTTGCTCATGGAATCTATAAATATAAAAGCCTAATATGCAAATTGTCACTGTGGAAGTTCAACCAGAAGACCGATCACTTACTATGATGTGCACTGACCACCAGGGGGCAACATGGAATGAAGGAAGGCCCTGGCTGGCAGCTGGAAGGCCCTGATAGGCCCTGATTGCCGGCCAGGCCTAGGGACCTAGTAAGAATATAAAGAGAGCCCTAACCGGTTTGGCTCAGTGGATAGAGTGTCGGCCTGCGGACTGAAGGGTCCCAGGTTCGATTCTGGTCAGGGGCATGTACCTTGGTTATGAGCACATCCCCAGTAGGGGGTGTGCAGGAGGCAGCTGATCGATGTTTCTCTCTCATCGATGTTTCTATCTCTCTCCCTTCCTCTCTGTAAAAAAATCAATAAAATATATATTTAAAAATATATATAAGGAGAAAGAAAAGGAAGGAAAATATAGCTATTATTTTTATCTTTTGAATACATTGAAGGAAGCACCACTACTTATAAACATCAGCTCTGTAAATATTTTGCAGATTAAATGCCTTATTGTTATTCTTTGCCTCAAATATCAAAGCCAATCTCATCTTGTTTCCCTGTGCCTGGTGAGGTGGGAAGGTACAGGGTTCTCTCTGTGTCTTAGAAATTCAGCACTACAAGTCCAAGAACCTATCCACGGACAAGGAAGAGGTGATGGCCAGCTCATTCAATTTCATCTAGACTCTCCTTTTAAGAATGGCCGGCTTCTCTAAAACCTTAGACTTCCACCAAAGCAGTAGCCAGAAAGCCTATGGAGGCCTGGATGGGTTTGGCTGCTCATGTGTTCTCTAGAGACACTGCTGTAATGTCAAGGAAAGAGCAACTGACCTGCAGTCTAAGGACCTGAGCGTGAGCACCAGCTCTGCCACACTCCGACTCGGATATGCTGCATAACTTCGAGTCCCAGGACCCTCATGGATAAAACATAATAATAAGTACATCACAGAATTCTTGAAGGGATCAAATGAGATAGTGCAAAATCACTGAACAACTGGAATTATTATTTGCAGCTCTTGGTGACTAGGGTGTGAAAATGCAGGCTAGTCTTGTCTGTAAGCCCTTTATTGTTTTAATAAGAACACTTTAAAACTGTGCTGGTCCTAGATTTGAAATAACGGGGACCTACAAGCTAGAGAAGAAAATCTTGAGTTATGACAGGCAAAGAAGAGTTGAGTTGGGGAGAGTATGATGATGTGTCCTGGAGAGAGATGTGGGGAGCAGGCAGGCACTGGCTGGAGAAAAGGCCTCATGTCTGAGTCTCTAAGGCAGCGGTTCTCAACCTGTGTGTCGCGACCCCTTTGGCGGTCGAACGACCCTTTCACAGAGGTCGCCTAAGACCATCCTACATATCAGATATTTACATTATGATTCATAACAGTAGCAACAGTACAGTTATGAAGTAGCAACGAAAATAATTTTATGGTTGGGTCACAACATGAGGAACTGTATTTAAAGGGCCAGAAGGTTGAGAACCACTGCCCTAGACACAACCTAGGTAGGACACAGGTGTGAGAAAAACATCCCATTGACTTCAAACTTTTCAAGGTATCACCCGCTGCTTAAGTTAAAGGGAAATGAAAATGAGAGAAGGAGAGGGATTAAGCAACTCTATAAACTTTCCCTTCAAACCCTGATTAAAATTCAGTCACAGGCCCTAGCCAGTTTGGCTCAGTGGATAGAGTGTCGACCTGCAGACTGAAGGGTCCTGGGTTTGATTCTGGTCAAGGGGCACATGCCTGGGTTGCAGGCTCGATCCCCAGTGGGGAGCGTGCAGGAGGCAGCCAATCAAAGATTCTCTCTCATCATTGATGTTTCTATCTCTCTCTCCCTCTCCCTTTCGCTCTGAAATTAATAAAAATATTTTTTTAAAAAATTCAGTCACAGAAGACTGTGCAGCAGTTCCAGTATATCTCCAATACTGTACATGGAGTGCTTTCTGGACAGTGATTATTTAGAAGAAGATAATGTAAAAATATATACAACATTAACACTTCCTAAAGGGTCCTTAATAAAAAAAAAATACAACCCTCTGAAATGTGTGACAGAGAGGATTCCATTTAAAACAGAAGCCCATAGTTACAGCATTTCAGTAGGAAGGACAAAAAGGAAACAATAAAACTAGGTTGATTCATTAATCAAAGACTGTGTGTATGGTTTACGCTTTTCGAATATAATGGTAAATTAAAAGTAGAAACACATTCTCTTTTGTGTATGTCACTAATATAGTAAAAGGAGCTCAAGGTGAAACAGTAACTAAAATTAAAACTATAACATATTAATGAATACACTTTACAAAAGAAAACATTTCCCTCAGAAAGTTGATTGAAAAAATATATAAATAACTTTCGTTTGTATAGTTAAAGTTTTTAATCTCTGGCGCATAACAATAATCGAAAGAATTCTGAGATTTTAGACAAAAGTGTTTGGTGGATTTGAGTTAATGGGCCAAGCAAGTTTCTTTTCCTTGGCTTCTCTGTCAAAGGAATCATAGATTGAGTCTTTGGTTATCGTTTTGGCCATGGGAGGGATTTCTGAAATCCCCACGTAGTTTTTTTTGGCCATCCTCGAACTGGTTGTGATAGTATAGGCATTGCTTCGGTAACATTTCATCGAGGACATGCAAAAGGTCTCTTTCATTCCTCTCCTGAAACTAGCATTATAAATGGAATACAGAGTAGGCTTAGAGGCTGAAGAACTAAAGGATATGCACGTGATTGCTGCGAACACAAGGGAACTTTTCTTATAGTCTCGTTCCTCAGGGTGCCACAGCTGAACCACATGAAAAGGCAGCCAGGAGAGCAGAAACAATAGGTTCAAAATGAGGAACATCTTGACCGTCTTCACTTTTGTCCTTGGGACAATGTTCATTGTCCTCCTCACAGTTCGGCCATCAGTGCCTATTCTCCAAATATACTTTACGACCTTCTGGTAAAATAAGATGATGAGGACAGATGGGATCACAAAGCCCACCAAGAAATGGATGACAGTATAGGCAGTTCCCTCCCAAGAGGAAGGGAGGAAATAATTGCAATGATTGTCCCAGCTGGAGCCGTAGAAAAAGAACACGGGGGACACAAAGGCTGCGTTGAAGATCCATGACGCTGCGATCATTTTCTTGGCTTTTTCCCTGGACACCTTGAAGCTCAGAGGATAGACAATGGTATAGAAGCGGTCTATGCAGATGGAGAGGAGGACATAGATCTGGACGCCCGGGGTGAGATACTGAAAGTATCGCACCATCTTGCACAGGGCGCTGCCAAGTGTCCACTTGCCAGTGGTGAACTGCAGCAGGACGAACGGCGAGCTGGCGATGCTGATGAGCAGATCGGCACACGCCATGGAGACCACAAAGTAGTTGGTGGTGGACTGAGTCCTTCGACTCCTGTGGATGACCAAACAAACCAGGGAATTGCCGAAGACAGAAAACAACCACAGGGTCCCAAACAAAATGCTGGCCGTGGCCACTTCCCCGGGTTTCAGTCCATACTGCGGGTCTGTTCTGTTGCTCATCCAGCCGTGCTCCTCATGTAATTCCGCCAGGTCATGGCTTGGCCGGGGGGTGGCCGTGTCGGGGCAGCTGTGGTTTTGGAGGGGCACCAGAAGAGTCGGGATAACCACAGGCGGCTTGCTGTTCTCCATCCTGTGAGCAAAAACCATATTCATTTTTTTCCTCTTAGTTCTGGATAAGAAAAGAAGAATGAAGCCTCCTGTTAAAATGGTGCCATCGAGTTTGATTCCTAAGGCTAACAATCTTATTTGGGCACTTAGATTGGTTGTTGTTTGTCTACAAGAAGGCCTCGTGCATTGGCAGGAAAACATGACTACTATCCAGGACAAACTCTGGCCCATTTCTCTTTCATTTTAGGTGCTGTTTTAGCAGAGCCCAGCGCAGGCTCTCTTTGGCCTCACCCTCTCTTGATCCTTAGTCAAATGTGGTAAAACTCATACCAAGCCCCCTCCTCATATATCCTTGTCCCCTCCACTCATTGGGGATAACAGAGGGTTAGAGAGTTCACTTGTTCCCCTCAAGTGAAGAGCTGCGGGAAGTCTGGGCAAGTGAGAAGCTCCTGGATGTTGCAACGCTAAAGCAACGAGGCTGCAAGAGCGGAAAACTCAGGCTGATGGAAACACTCAGATGTCAGCTGTGGAGACAGCTGACGGGAATCTATGAGTACAGACTGGCCAGCTACTGAGAAGGATCCCGTCCTTATTGCAGGGTTTCCATTACAGAAGCATTAAGGAAGCCCGTGGAGCCACCATGACACTTCTGCACGAGCCAGAAGAGCTCTTCATTTAATGACATCTGAAAATAGCTCGCTTTTTCCAAAAGGTGACGTGGCTCATGTCCTAATAGCTTGCCACCTATCAATTTGTTGGTGCTATTCTCTAGTTATTGTCTCATAAAACGACACATCGACTGAAGAAAGAACATACAAAATGTCTTCTAAAGAGTGTAACCAGGCTGCTAGAAACCTTAAGGCGTTCAGACGATTAAAAACAACCAAATATAACTGTTACTCAGCAACTTTTAAAAAGCTTATGATCCTTGGATATTTAAAAATATTATAAAGTTTAACACTAGTTTTTGTACTATTCAGTGAGAAAAAGTTTTGCGCTTTTTATTAGGTAAAAAAGATTGTGTAATTGTGGGCCATTCAATTAAAATTGAGGTGACTGGTGGCAGTGGGACCACTGATGTTTAATTTGGCTGCCTCTATTAACCAGAAAGAGAAAGTGTAACCAGGCTGCTAGAAACCTTAAGGCGTTCAGACGATTAAAAACAACCAAATATAACTGTTACTCAGCAACTTTTAAAAAGCTTATGATCCTTGGATATTTAAAAATATTATAAAGTTTAACACTAGTTTTTGTACTATTCAGTGAGAAAAAAAGTTTTGCTTTTTATTAGGTAAAAAAGATTGTGTAATTGTGGGCCATTCAATTAAAATTGAGGTGACTGGTGGCAGTGGGACCACTGATGTTTAATTTGGCTGCCTCTATTAACCAGAAAGAGAAAGCTTAGCAGTTGAATCTGTAATAACCAGAGCAACTCCACTGGGCCTGCGGCACAGGGCGGGGTGGGGCGCTCCAGCAATAGGCCCAGTGCCCCTCCTGGTGGGCTCCTGTGACTACACCTCACAGGGATAAGTTTCTGAAGTTCTAGAGGTGGAATGAATAAACAGTTCTTAATGACCCATTTCTCTGTGAAGGATTTTTGCACAAATTTGTGCTGGGAAGAGGGTTTTTCATATACATCATCCTCACCATGAAACCACAAGCAACAAAAGTCTGGAGCTCAGGACAAGGTGCTAAGTGCGAGCTCCATGTTACCTTTAGGCTTTTTTTAGGGGGGAGGGTGGGGGGGGGGTCCATGAGGCAGCCCTACTTAATTTCTCAAAAAGAAATGTAAGGTAATTAGACATCTTGACTGCTAAAAGATCTTTAAGCACGGCTGGCCAGATGATAGTCAGTTGTAAGAATAGCAACCATACTTTCCATATAAAAAAAAATCAGGATACACATTCTAAAAACAGAACGTACTATCTAAAATTAGCACTGTCCTAGAAAATGAAGAATGCATGACCCTCCTATTTATACAATGGAAATAATAGTGTTACCTATATACTAGCATGTGTAAAACCTGTAAGATGCCAAAAAAAAAGCGAGCAAATTTTAAAAAAATATTTCAAGTTTAAAAATAAAACACACGAGAACCTTTTCAGACAGAAAGGGCTGCTCCGGACTGTCTGGGGATGCCTGTGGCCTAAATAAAATGGGAGTGCGTGGCACGGGCGCTTCATAGTCCATACATCCACCTAGAAACCTGTGAACTTCCTCTTGTTTCTCTCAAAGCAAAACTCTGCTGAGAGAGGTGAAACTCCAGTCTAGCTCACCCCTAACAGCCACAGCCCTACCAGGCCTTCGTCCATGTTTCCTCCAGCTGCTTTACGCCAGTCCTGCCCCTTGGATGCTCAGACGTGGGGCCTAGGGAGTTCCTGAGGCTAGGTCTCCCCTGATGATGGCATGACTTGCTGACGTGACCTAACATCGCTACAGCTCTGTTTATTCAGTCAAAGAAAAACAAGAAACTGTGCTGGCTACTAAGGAAACAAAGATAAGTGAGACGCATAAAAGGGTAAACGTATAAATAACTGTCTGCCATATTATAACTGAATTCTGTAATAATTATAATTAGCTGCTAAAACCAGACGGGGAGCTAAGTGCCAGAGGAAAACAGGGTCCCAATGTTGCTTGGGATAGGAGGAAGAAGTGCAACGGCTTCACAAAGGATGTGGGCTTTGGGAATGGATAGGACGACTTCAGAAAGACAAGGGAGTTAACCCCCCCCCCCCACACAAACACACACACATACCACTAAGGGTGAGAGAAAGAGCGTGTAGAATGAATTTGAGGGTCATCTTTCTGGGTTGATCTTTGTTGGGCCCTTTTCCCCTTAGAGACATAATTTTCTGCCGACCTTACCTCCCAGAGTATGTCGTTTCTAAATGCCCTACAATCCAACTGACCTACATTTTCCCCATGGTTACGAGAGGCTATCTTTTCCGCATTTGGGGCCAGACAGTGGATAGGAGTATTCGCACATCCATAATGGATGTGGTATCCTTATCCATACAGCACTCTGTTAGCCTTTTACTACAGTGTTTTCCATTTCTTTTGCTTTAGACCAGGGGTCCTCAAACTACGGCCTGCGGGCCACATGCAAATACAAATATTGTATTTGTTCCCGTTTTGTTTTTTTACTTCAAAATAAGATATGTGCAGTGTGCACAGGAATTTGTTCATAGTTTTTTTAAAAACTATAGTCCGGCCCTCCAACGGTCTGAGGGACAGTGAACTGGCCCCCTGTTTAAAAAGTTTGAGGACCCCTGCTTTAGACCAATGGTTCTCTAGCTTAGCAACATTGGACTTTCCCAGGGAGCTTTAAAAAAAAAATATTGACGTTGGGGGTCCTACCCCAGGGATTCTAATTAAATTGGTCTGGAGTGCAGCCTGGGCATCAGGATGTTTCAAAGTTCCCCAGGTGACCCTGACAGGCAGCCAGGATTAAGAATCACAGCTTTAGAATTACTTCCAAGTTCCTGTCCTTCCCCACTAAACTATGGCTCCTGGAAGGATAGTATTATTACTGCTACAGCCTCCATTGAAGTTCGCTACATTAATAATTACTTATTAACTTAGTCGAATCCCTAAGGATAGAGAACTGAAATACATGACTCCTACTCTAGGTGGCTCTGCGAGGAGAATTACAAGCAGAGAGAGAATCGTGTATTCTTGGGGAGCTGGCACATTGGTGACCATGGAGATAGGGGGAAACATAAGAGCAGGGCCAGTGAAACTGAGTCACCCAGGTCCACTGCTACGTGAAATAGAACTCTGATTTGAGGGGGAGAGAAGGTAGTTGAGGAGTCCTCAGGCAGACCCTGCACCCCTCTCCTGGAAAAAATAGTCTGCCATGTTATAACTAAATTCTAGGGCCCCAAAGTCAAATTTCAGAAAGCTTTCCCCGCTCCATTCATTTGGAAATAAATACGTCTTCAATGAATGTTTTGGAAATACAAGGGCTGCTTAATTAGTAATTATGTCCAAGTCATCCACAGGCAGTAATTTTAGGAGCAACAGGAAAGACCTCTTCACCTCTTTCCTGCTCCACGTTTCTCTTCCCAACCAGTTCTGAGCCCGCCATGTGACACACACCACTAGGTTAAAATGTATCTCTATTATCCTGGCTGGGGTGGCTTAGTTGGTTGAGCATCATCCCATGCAACAAAAAGTCACCGGTTCTATTTCCAGTCAGGGCACATGCCCAGGTTGCAAGCTTGATCCCCAGTCAGGCTATGTGAGTGAGGCAGCTGATCGATGTTTCTCACTCACATCAATGTCTCTGTCTCTGTCTCTGTCTCTGTCTCTCTCCCCCTCCCTTCCCCTCTCGTTTCTCACTCACATCAATGTCTCTGTCTCTGTCTCTCTCCCCCTCCCTCTAGAAATCAATAATCCATTAAAAATCTAAGAGAGGAATCATTCGTCTATTGGGCTCTAAGAGATGCATTTCTTAAAATTTTTTTTATTGATTTCAGAGAGTAAGGGAGGAAAGAGAGATAGAAACATCAATGATGAGAGAATCATTGATCAGCTGCCTCCTACACACCCCCAACTGGGGACTGAGCCCACAACCTGAACATGTGCCCTGACGGGGAACCAAACCATGACCTCTTGGTTCATAGGTCGACACTCAACCACTGAGCTACATCGGCCAGGCTAAGAGATGCATTTCAATATATAAGTGGGGAAATGGTGGATAGGTTGACATGGTATAGAATTGGGGATTGGGTGGACCTCTGTAATGATGGGATCCTAGGGAACCTGGGAGGGGAATATGTCTATCACTTTATATTGTAATTTTTATTTTGAATGTTTGTCTCCCCATTAGGTTATAAATTCCTTGAGGACAGAGACTGTGTCTTTATCTGCATATATCTGGCGCATATAGATATTAATAAAGGTTTATTGAACAAATAGATGTTAATAAAAATGATATAGTGTTTGAAAATAAGTAAACAAGAGGATAGCAAATTATTTTAAAGTCATGCTAGGACATTGTTAGATGGGCTTCTCCAAGAATTAATTCTCTGGGACAATGTGTCTGTGTTTGATTTTGCT